CGGGAGTGCCGTGGTGGTCAGCCTGCGCCTTCGAGGAAACGGGCACGTGTGCTGGCAGTTTGGGGGCGCCTCGTTTTCTGGAGACGGCTGTGTGGAGCGCAGGGCCGCGGGGGTGGCAGGCAGGGCTGAAGGCCGAGGGGCGTTTCTGGGGAGGCCCTCCTGCCCGCCACTTTAGTTTGCTGGAGGAGAGAGAGCAGGATGGGAGGCTGTCGGGGGTCCCAGAACTTGGGTGTGCTGGGGAGGGGGCACCTGGCTGTATCTCAGGCTGGAGCCTTGGCTTGGACACACACATGCACCCTGGTCTCCATGTCATCTGTAAAATCGAGTTGGCTCTGGGGCCACCCAAGGGCTCTTCTGGGTCTGCGTGAATTCAGTTCGTATCTGTGGACCAGGCGGGGGTCCCTGGAAGCGAAGGAGGGGTGTCCAGCCTTACAGGTCCGGGCGAGGGTCCAGGAGAGAGTGGTTGTCTGGGAGGGCAGTCAGGTGCGTGTTCCCCAGCGGTGGTCACCGCGCCAGGCTGTGAAGGATGGGCACCTCTGCCTGGCGGCTGGCGGCGTGCTGCGAAGCGGCACTGCCTGTGATGCTGGGCGCGGAGCGCAGTGAGGCCGGGGACGTCCTCGTGCTCTGTGCTCTGTGCTCTGGAGGGGCACAGGAGGGAGAAGGAAAGGCTGCCTCCACCATTACTGCCACCTCGAGAGGCAGGGGTCCCCGTCGTCACACCGACTTGTAACTTGTTCTTCTCCAGGCCTCCAGGAGTGCTGCCACGGGCCAGCGTGTCTGCCCCAGAGACAGGGAGGTGGGGGGCTCCAAGCCAGCGAACGCCCGCGTAGGTGCTGGGAGCTGTGTCCTGCGGGGACTGTACCCTCTGAGCACAGAGGTTCGTCTGGGAATGGACATGGCCCAGGCGTTGCGGGGCGCCTGGCTCCCACGCGGTCTGCCTGCCTTCCTGCCTTCCGTTCCTTCGTTCCCTCATTCGTTCATCCTGCAGACCTTTGAGGCATTTGTATTAGCCAGCTCAGGGGTGCAGAGGAGAGCTAGGGGATCAGCTTGTTGAGCTGCTGGGTGGCAGGGGACGGGAGGGGGCAGGGCCTGCATGGTGATGGGGCGGGGGATGTCCCTCCACATTCGCTCCAGCCACATCCCGGTGGTGCTTGTCACTCTGTCCGAGAGGCTAAATCCATCCCTGTGCAGTCGACGGTCACACATAATAGTTGCTTGTCTGGAGAGTGCAGTGTCCCCTTCTCTGGCAGAGTGGCCCAGAGGCTCCTCACAGAGCAGGGGCGTTGGTACTGTTTCAGGATCCAGCCCGCGGTCACCCCTCCCTGACACCTGCCCAGGAGTCAAGTAATAAAAGCCCCTGTGCCCACGTATGGCCCGGTGTGTGGACTCTTTCTTAGGGCGTGCCGCTGGCTCCCCCCTCGCCGTGGCTCTGCATCCCAGGAACGCGTGAGTGCTGCAGCCTCTGTACCTCAGCTGACTTCCCTCGGGACGTGGGAAGGGGCTCCGAGTTGCCAGGCCTGCAGGCTGGGGGGGCCTCCGGGAGGCCTGTCCAGTGAAGGAAATGGCTCCAGAAACACCTACTGGAAAACCCGAGCGTTTGATGACTTGGAAGTGCCCTAGGGTGGGAGGACCAGGCGCACTCTGTCCTGAACCTTCTTCCTGAGCCCACGAAAGCCCCTCGTGCTGTCATGGCCTGTGAGGATGGAGAGGTGCAAGGGAGCAGGCCGCCTGTCACCCCAGCCCCCGGGCCGTGGCCCCCCTCACTCCTTTCCTGAGCTTTATGTCGTCCTGTGTGTTTCTGTGCATGTTGGAGCCTAGCCTGTTGTGGTTACGATCCTGGCCCTGGAAAGGGTGACCCGGCAGCCACAGAGGGCACGGGCCAGTGGGTGGTCCCGGGTCTGGCCAGCACTGGCTTCCTTCCCTTGGAGCTGGCTGCGTGGGGCCGCTTGCGCTGGGGCCCTGGCCTGTGCTGCTTTTCAGGTGGGGCTGTGGTGTTGAGGGGGAACACGGGGGGCACGAGGGGATGCTGTCGAGGGTCTGAGCTTCAAGCCAGTGTCCCAGGCCCTCCAGCATTGTCATCCGCCCCGGAGGCGGGGGTGGGGGGACCCTGCGAGGTGGGGGCAGAACCTCAGAGTCTGCGTCTCCAGGTGCAGCCCAGCCCCCACGAGGGCGTGTTCAGATGGCCCCCCATGCACCTGGGAGCACGTTCCCAGTGGCCATGCTCCTCCTCTGGGAGTCTGCGGTGCTCTGTGCCGTGTGGGGCTCTCCCAAGCAGAACAGCGAGGGACCAGGTGCCGACCCCTGGTTCCAGGCTCCTGGCCTATGCGGTGGGCACCTTGACATCCAGGAGTGGCAGCCAGCCCCTGAGGACCTGGGAGCTATTCCACCCTCCAATGGCGGTGGCCTTCGGGGTGCTCTCTGCCAGATCCCTCTTCCCAGAAAAGCCCCAAGTATGGGGCGCTCCGACCCAGGGCCTCGGCCTCCCACCCCGCATTACTGCCAAGCCAGGCTGGCCGGAGGCCCGAGCCTGTTGCACCCCTGTGGCCTCAGGGAATGTCCTGTCTCTTGGCTCCACCTCAAGGCCTCTGCCACCCAGGGTGGGTCCGGGCTCCACTGTGACTGGCCTTTGTGTCCCTGCTTATCTCTTGTTCGGCAGGGACTGTGTCTCCTGGTGTTCCTGCCACCCCACTCGGGAGGGTCAGCCGCCACCTGGCTTGGAGGAAGAGCCCCTGCTGACGTGTTATCAGGCTCGGAGCCGGGGGCGGGACCCCTGTGCCGCCCTGGCCTTATCTTCAGACCTTGGGCAGACTAGGGGGAGAGCGGGCTGGGCGATGGCTGGGCCTGTAGCAGCCAGAGACAGTGGGGTCACGTCCTCTCCAGTGGGGGCTTCGTGCTCAGTGTCTCGTCCTTGATTCTGTGTGCAGCAGTTAGAGAAGGGCGCGGGCATTTTCTGAAATGGTGGCTGTGGTGGGAGCAGGGAGCGGCAGAGGGCAGGTCTGGAGGGGGTCTGGGGAAGGCTAATGCTGTCTTGTTCACCCTTTCCCTAGTTCTGTGGCCCTGGCCTGCACACGGTGCCCACCCAAGGCCCCAGGGCCCAGGGGGCTGGAGGAAGCAGGCCTGGCCTCCACCGTGCCAGACGCCTGCCCCAGAAGCTGATGATCAGAGTCACTGGGGAGCGAGGTCACTGGGGGAGCTGCACGCGGCTCTGTAGTCAGGAGAGGCACCGCTCTGTCCCTCAGCCAGGCGAGGTGCTGGGTGCACAGAGCCGCATGGGCGGCCAGGGCAGGTGGGCCGTGGGGGCCGTCTTTCCTCGCCCTGACCCCGCGAGGGCCTTCCCAAAGGATATCCCTCAGGTGAACGCCAGGCAGGCCCTGAGCCTTGGGGGAGGGGTCCCTACAGCTGGGCAGGAGCAGGCCCCTCCCCTGCCCTGGAGTGGGGAGCAGGAATCAGGTCCCCAGGGTCTGACTTCTAAGAGTATAATTTCTACTGTCTGGCTTCTGGGGGGCTCCTCAGATGGCTCCCATTTCCAGAAGCTCAGTTAATCTTGTTTACTAGAGGTGGGCTCGGTTCACTTCTATCCAGATCTATTCCCAGTAACTGGGGGAAGGTGCCGATGGCCCTTCCCCACCTTGAGGGTCACCTGTCAGTTGCCTTCTGATGCCCCTGCTGGTGGGCGGGCAGAGACCCCAAGGCACCCAGCAGCTTGCAAAACATTTTATTGTGAGCTTCTCCAGCTCCACGGGTCCCTTGAGGATCCCAGCCCTCCCAGGCAGTGGGGCAGGAGGCTAGATGGCATGAACAGTTACCTTCGGTGTGTGTGTCCCCCTGACTCTCAAGTAACCTTGGGGTGGCTCGGGGCTGCCTGCTTCCGAGGCCGAGCTCCAGCACTTAACTTCTAAGCAAGGCTGCAGCAGAGCCTGGCAGCCGTGTCCTCTGAGCTCCCGACCCACCCATCTAGAGGCCCTCAGGCAGGTGACAGCCACAAGGTACAGCGGGGAGAGGAGGAGACTGAAGCCCCCAGAGGGGCAGGATCAGGACCTTGACTCAGGCCGTCCTGGGGCAGACTTCTTTTGCTTCTTGGTGTAGTGGGTAGGGCCAGGAGGCAGCCCCCACCTGGGACGGAAAACGCCCATTGGCAGAGCTCCTGGGTGCTTGGCTCAAGGGCTTGGTGCTCTGGCCAGGAGCCAGCCCCCTCAGAGTGAGTGGCTCAAACCCCCAGTGCACGACCATTCCCACCTGATAAGCAGATCTTGTGCCCACTTGAGGGCCGGGGGCGTGGGCGAGTGTGTTGTCTCTTAGGAAACATACCTGGGCAGGGACAAAGCTGGGCTCGGCCCCAGGGCCCAGTGACTCTCCTGTCTGGTGTCTGAAGCACGGGCTTTTTGGGGGAGACCTCTTGCTTTCAAATCTGGACTGGCTGAAAGGCCCCCAGCTCTGTCCTCTGACCAGATCCTGACCTTGAAAAGGACTGAGGCCTCTGGGCTGCTTTGCATGTGGCCTGTGGCCCTTTCTGGGCTGTGTATGGGTCCTGACCACCCCCTTCCATTGGTCATCAGCCCCACCCACCTGTCCTTGGGGAGGGCCTTCCCGCCAGGTGGGCCCTGGCTCCCATCCCACAGGGGAGGGCTGGGTGCTGCGGGGCGTCTTAGCATAGGAGGGAGATTGGGAAGTGAGGCGGGCCAGACCGGAGGCCACCCCAGACACCAGTGCTACCTGGCGGATCCCTCTGGACATGCCCAGCGAGTGACCACAGCTCTTGGCTGTGGGTGGCCTTGGCTCTCTGCTGGCTGCTAGGACTTCCCTGGGTGGCAGTGGATCTGCCTTGGTGCCTTGTGACCCGTTCTGGGTCAGGGTGGCCAGAGGGCGGCCTCCATCCTACTGCTGGGTCGCTGGCCTTCCCTCGGGACTATCCCCCACCTTGTTCCCATGCTCTGGCATCCTCAGCTGGGACACGAGGGCAGGAAGTGACTGCTTCCAGTGTGAACACCCCACAAGGAGCACCCCGGCACCTGTCCTGCCGCCGGCACCCAGCCCTGTGGCGTCTCCCCTCCCGTCTCCCACCCTCAGCCCCAGCGTGGCCCCCATTGTCTGAAGCAGGAGCACATACTTCTCTTCTTCTTAAATAGAATTCAAAAATAGGGTCCAACTTAAAAGCCAGACCACATGCCTGCAGGGAACCCTCCCTCCCTTGTCTCCTCCCCCCAGCAGCCTAAGCCCAGCCACTGTCACCTATGGCTGCCAGCTGCACGGGCTTCTCTCCCCACATGAGGCCGCGCGAGTTACCTGGAGCTGCCGTGTTTCCAGCAGAGCAGCGCACACGGGGCCTTCGTGCAGTGCAGATCGTCCTCGCTGTCCCGAAGGCCGGGGCTCCATCCTGGGCCTCCTGGCTGAGGCCGGGCGTGGTCAGGCCTGGCTCCTGGCGGCTCCTAGGAGAAGCACTGTCATTCTCCAACCACAGGGACCAACTCTGGCGGCCTGTTCTGTAGACACGCTGCAGGATGGCGTCCGATAGGGCCTCCGGTGCCCGCGGCAGGCCGGCGCGCTCGCACACGGCACCGCTTCCTGGGGACGCCTCCCTTTGCTTGCGTTTCGTTGACAATGTGACCGTCCTGGCTCCTGGCGGCTCCTAGGAGAAGCACTGTCATTCTCCAACCACAGGGACCAACTCTGGCGGCCTGTTCTGTAGACACGCTGCAGGATGGCGTCCGATAGGGCCTCCGGTGCCCGCGGCAGGCCGGCGCGCTAGCACACGGCACCGCTTCCTGGGGACGCCTCCCTTTGCTTGCGTTTCGTTGAGAATGTGATTGTCCATAAGCGAGGCTCCTGGAGGTTCATGCCGACACTGGTGGCACTGGGCCTGTGCCCACCTCTGGAGCGTGCCCTAGAGCCAGTACGCCACACAAACTGTGGCCTGTGCCCACCTCTGGAGCGTGCCCTAGAGCCACACAAACTGTCCCCCGACCACGGGGCAGGGACCACTCAGCCCGATAGAGGCGTTAAAAGGACCCACTGCTCTCTGGCCCGCTGTGGCTTTGTGACAATCGGGTGTTCTTCGAACACAGTGCTTTCACACCTGTGGGGTCACACCACGGATCGCCTTTGGCGTGCGGGTGTCCTTCCATCCGGTACTGCTGAGCGGCGGCCGCTTCAGTGGTTTCTGTTTTCTTGCTGGGACAGGCGCAGCCCTGTGGAACCTCCTGTGGCTGTGGGTGGCATCGGGCTGTGTCCGCTCACCTCCCACCCCCAGCCCTGAGCCAGGCAGCCCTGCACACACGCCATCCCAGCCTGTCAGATGTGCCCGCCTCGTGCCCCGTCTGGGTGTCGGGCTCCCTGGCATCTTCGCGGCCCCCACCCTCAGCTGTGGGAGGCAGAGACGTGGCTCAGTGTGGCTGCCCGGCTCGGAGATCTCGTGGTCTCCACCTCTCCTGGTGTCCTCCCTGGACCTTGTGGCTGTCTCTGGGGCCAGCGCGCTGCGCCCCGTCAGCCTCCGCAGGGCCTCCGCAGATCGGGACCTGCCTGGAGGGGCACTCGGAATCCTGGGCGCGTGGGCAGGCCTGGCCCTCACCAGCTCCCAGACGGCTGGCTCTTGGGGTCGAGGCAGCGGCTGCTGCTTCCCAGGGCTGCTCACCGCTGTGTCCTCCCTCTCCGTTCCAGGGCTTGGCTATGACCCGTACAACCCGGAGCTGCCCAAGCCCCCCGCACAGAGGGAGAATGGCGTCCTGGGCAGAGGGGACGAGCCCCGCTCAGACATCCTGGAGCTGGAGCTGGTCAACCAGGCCATCGAGGCCGTGCGCTCCGAGGTGGAGATGGAGCAGCGGCGGTACCAGGAGCTCCTGGAGACGGCCCGTGAGCACATCTCAGCCGAGGTCCCCGCCCTGGCGCCCCACGGTCCCGCCGCCGGCCTGGACGAGGACACCTTTCCCCTGTCCTTCGAGTACAGCCCTGGCGGCTGTGACCTGTTGAGCCCCGACGCCGGCTACCAGCCCACCCCGCTGGCTGCCCCTGCCGAGGCGGGCAGCAAGTACTCGCTGGCCGCTCTGGACCGGGCTCAGGGTCATGGCGGAGGGGGCAGCAGTGCCCTGGAGTATGTCCCCAAGGCGGTGAGCCAGCCCCGGCGGTATAGCCGCCCGGTGTCCAGCGGCAAGTACGTGGTGGATGACTCGAAGCCGTCCACAGACCTGGAGTATGACCCGCTGTCCAACTTCTCCGCCCGGCTGCTCGGCGGGGCCAGCTCCAGGGATGGCCGGGCCCCCAAGCGGCCTCGGGGCTCCCGCGGCAGCAGTGAGCCCTACATGCCCGTGCTCAAGAAGCCCTGTGACCCCTTTGGGGGCTGCGAGGCCCGGTTCTCCGACTCAGATGATGACGCTGCCACGGCAACAGGGAAACAGCCTGTCACCGCCAGTCCCCCAAGGGCCCAGGCGGGGGCCGAGAGCAAAGGCCCCAAGAAGCCGGGCTCCAGGGAGAGCCAGGAGCCTGAGGACGGTGGCCTGCGGGAGACCAAGGAGATGGCCGTGCAGTACGACGTGGGGGACCTCGGGCAGCCTCCCAAGGGCCCTGGTGGGGCGTCCCCGGCCAAGCCTGACTTCCCGGCCATCGCCTCGCAAGAGCACAGTGGCCCCAAGGAGGGGAGACCCAAGAAGAAAAATGGGGTGCCGCCGGTCCCCAGCCCTAGGGACAGTGGCCGGAAGACAGACAGGGGTGAGGACAGAGAGCATGGGAAGCTGGCCGGGAAGCCCTGTGCCGGCAAGAAGGGCCCGCAGGCTGGCAGCCACCAGCGCAAGGGGGAGCGGCCCCAAGGGACCAAGAAAAAGCCATCTCTGGCCACCTCGGTGGCCAGCTCAGGGAAAGGCCGGCCCGACCGGCCGGGGTTGCAGCCAAGCCCCACGCGTGGGGATGCCCCCCAGCTGCCAGACAGGACAGGCGGAAAGGCCCCGCCGGGGAAGCTGGCGGAGCGGAAGGCCTGCTCACTGGACGAGGGCGCCTCCCAGGCCGCCCCGAAGCTGCCGAGGAGGACCCTGAGCCACGTGGACCTCTTCGGGGATGAGAGCGAGGACGAGGAGCCAGGGCCCAGAGCGCCCGGACTGCGGGCCCCTGCCCTCCCCAGCCTCAGCTCCAGCTCAGACTCGGACTCTGACTCCAGCCTGGGCCTCGTGGCCACACGGGGGCCACACAAGCGCCTCAAGGCCACCCCGCCCCCCTCGCCTGGCCGGGCCTCCCCCTCGTCCTCCCCCTCATCCTCGGGGGCGGGCACAGACGTGGACTACGCGGCCCTGGAGAAGGAGGTCGACTTCGACTCGGACCCTATGGAGGAGTGCCTGCGCATTTTCAACGAGTCCACCTGCGTCAAGACGGAGGATAGGGGCCGGCTGGCCCGGCAGGTGAGCGCCCGGGGTGCTGGCTACCCTCCAGCGTTCCCCTGTGACCGGCACCCAGCGCCGAGACGGAGACGGCTCTTCCCTCGTCCAAAATTCAGGAACCCTCGGTGGCTGCCTGCTGCCCCCCTGCACCTTGTCCAGAAAGAGGACGCTGGCTCCCAGCCCGCCCGGCGGGGTTCCGGCCCACCCGGGGCTCCTGTGCAGCACCTGAGAGCCGCAGGACGGGGTACTGGGTACCCCCGGGGCCCTTCCCCTCCCCATCTTGTGTCTTGTTCCCCT